CATATGATCAGTGGTTGGAGTACCGCGATACTTATCTCTCTCTTATCCACAATTCTACAGAAATAGATAACGTGCAAAAATTCCATTATCTACGGTCATCTCTCTCTGGTAGTGCGTTATTAGTAATAAAATCATTGGCACTCTCGTCTGTGAACTACAACAACAACGTAGCATGGGAGTTATTGGAAAATAGATATAATAACAATCGTTTGCTCGTGCAAAACCACGTAAAGGCTTTGTTTTCTATTACGTCACTTAATAAAGAATCACCTGCTCACATAAGAAAATTAATAGATAACGTACTTAAAAATATGCGTTCTCTTAAAAACCTCGGTGAACCAACCGAGCATTGGGACACTCTAATAATTTATTTAATGACATCTAAACTTGATCCATCAACCGAAAGAGAATGGGAGACACATAAAAGTACAATTATTCATAGCCAAACTCCACCTACCAATCGGTTATCGCTCGATGATTTGATTACCTTTCTTAAATATAGGGCTGACGTATTAGAAACTATTAATCTAGCACACAGCAAATCGATAAATACATCTGAGGGTAGTACGAAAAAATCACATAGCTTAGTATCGACACAAAATAAACAACATACTTATAATAATAGTGTTAAGTCTAAACGTTCTCGTAATTGCATTATGTGTCACGCTAATCACCCGTTATATTCGTGTGATTCATTTTTGAATTTATCTATAAGGGATAGAATAAAATTCATTGATGAAAATAAATTATGTCGCAATTGTTTACGCGCGAACCATTCAATTAATGAATGTTGGTTCGGTCCATGTAGGTCATGCAATAAGAAACACAACAGTTTAATTCACGAATCTAATGACAGTGCAACTGTTGTGTATGATTCGCGAGCAACGCCACAGGACGCAACTAGTTATAAATCTACTAACACAACAACATTACATTCTGCTTCACACACAACACATCAAAGTACAACTCATTCATTATTAGAGACTGTACTGCTATCCACAGCTTTAGTGGAGGTTGCAGATAAGAATAATCGTTTCCACACTACACGCGCTTTATTAGATAATGGTAGTCAGCATTGTTTTATTGCTGAGCCTTTATGTAAAAAACTTAATCTTAATTTAATACAGTCCTCTGTTCAAGTGTCCGGAGTAGGTAACTCTGTCACTAATTCCACACAGTCATGTGAAATCAACTTGAGATCTAAGACTTCCCAATATAATACGCGCCTTAAATGTCTAGTTTTGTCTCAGATCACAGCAAAATTGCCATCTTTAGGTTCAAAATCACTCATAAACATCCCTGACAATATACAGTTAGCGGATCCCAATTTTTATTCGCCATCAGAAATTGAAATACTAATCGGAGCGGATAAATTCTGGGAATTATTAAATGACGGCTTAATTAGACTAAGTAGTGGTCCATATCTGCAGAACACTAAGTTGGGTTGGCTAATTTCTGGTTCGTTGTTACATGTAAAAACTTCACGCATTAATCTAGTTCAATGTAATTATTCGCAAGGACTAGAAAAACAACTTAGGCAATTTTGGGAATTGGAAGAAATAGTTCCACAACATAAATACACAAAAGACGAATCCTTATGCGAAACACTGTTCGTGGAAAGTACATATCGCGACAGTACGGGACGGTATTTTGTGCGTATTCCATTAGCGGAGCCTAGTGACACACTGGGTGATAGTTATACACTCGCATTAAATAGATTTCTCGCATTAGAACGAAAATTAGAT